ACCTGCCAGGACGGCTTCAGCCTCGCTGCCGACGACAAGGCGTGCCAGCCCCTGGTGCCAGCCCCCGGGCTGGAAACCTTCAGCCAAGCAGGTAACCTGTCCCCCGCTGCAGGACAGCCCTGGCTGCTCGGGGCCTTCGATGAAAGCTGGGATTAACACACATCACAGGGTGGCTGGAGCAGGACTGGCAAGAGCCAGGAGAGGGGACGACAGCCAGAACCTCTCAGCCTTATCCCCAGTGAGCCGGGAGTCCCTCTACCACCCAGCCAACCTCCCTGTGCACAAATCCAGCCACCTCTCCATCTGCAAGGGTGACAGAGCCCACCGGTGCTGTGTGGTGGCCGGGATGCAGCTGTTCTCTCCATCATCATCCTTCCCGCAGGGCAAGTCCGGAGCCACGAGGAGCGGTGGGCGCCGCTGGTGACGGCCCATTATTACTTTTGGTACGCGCTGTGACACTTCAAACTCGTACCGTGAGTAATAATGCGCTGTGGCCAGCACCGGCATCGCATGGGAAGCACCTGGGAGAGCAGGGCACTGTCTGCACGTGCCCCACAAGCCACCTGTATCCCCTGTCCAGGGCCCTCAGCAGGGATGATCCTTTGTGCCCACCGTGGGACAGGGCAGACCCGGGCGCTAACTAATCTGACGACAGGGACACGAGACATCTCATCCTTTAAGCATCATCCCAGTGCCTTAAAAATTCCCCACTTTGTTGCAGGTACTCCAGCAGCAAGGAAAGGCTTGTGTGCGTTAGCAGGAGGACTAGATGCCAGTGCTTGCAGCAGGCGTTGGATCCAATTGATGCTCCAGGGGCTGGTCCCAGTGGGGCAGAACTGGGGGCTCACTAGGAAGGGAGTGGAAAGCAGCAGAGCCGGGCCTCAGCCCTGCAGCAGTGTCTCTCCCCAGCACCTTCCACTTCACCTCAGGCAAGGGGCTTTTACTCACCGACCTTTTCTTGGTCACTTTTTCAGATCCTCCCAGTGAAATGAAGGAAGAAATGAAAGACCTGAAGAGCAGAGTGGAAGCGCTGGAGCAGGTGAGCTTTCAGCACACAACCCTGCCCTGCCCTCGCTGCTGTTTGAGCTCAAGGCCGTGCTCAGCCAGCTCCCACCCGGGGCTGTTCACAGCCAGGGTTTCCCTCCGCCCCAGCTCTATTTTTAACGTCACGCTGGCCTCACGCCGCAGCGATCCCAGCTGTGCTCCACGCTGCCGACAGCGCCCACACAGCAGCTCTTCCAGCCCGGCAGCCTTTTGAACGCAACCAAAGCCCTGTGAGCTGGCCGGTGTGCCGCCCCAGTGGGGTGCGCCCCGGCAGGCGACGTGCTACGTTCCACTGGGTGGTCCTCGTGGCCGGGGAGGACATGCTGACGGCTCCCCTTCTCCCTGCAGAAACTCCAGTTGGTGCTAGCCCCCTTCCACAACCTCATGCCATCTGCGCCGGAGGATGTCGGCGCAGACCCCATCAGCCGGCTGTCCCACTCCCTCCAGCAACTGGACAGAATCGACTCCCTGAGCGAGCAGATCTCCTTCCTTGAGGAGCGGTTGGAGACATGTAAGTGCCTGGAAAAAGCAGGGTTTAAGTATTACGCTCCACCCACACTGACCACGGTGAGCAGATGCGGGCTAGCGAGATCAGTAACACATATGCCACTATTAATCTGTATCTCCCTCAAGCTCAGCAGCCTGTAATTAATAAAAGATGAACACAAACAGCCCCTTAGCTTCATTTCAAAGCTGTTTCTATGGCTGCACCATCTGACTGCCCTCGTAGCAGCCAAAAATCGTAAGATCTGCACATGGAAACACAGCTCTGGGGCAGAAGCAGAGGGTCATGTCTCGCAATCAGCACGTCACTGGTTGCGTTCCCTTCCTGCACCAAAGCCCAACTCTTTGGAAATTAACAGTCCAAAAAGTCAATCAGGAAAGTTTAGGTAGCGTGCAGAATTTGGCAGATTTACGAGCGTGGGAAGTTTCAGGCATTTCTTTTTGAAGTCCGCAGACCAGTCCTTTGCCAAGCATTGGACCAGAGAAAGCCTTCTAAGTAGCAAACTGATCAAGAGACACTGGTGAGAGCCGTCACGTGTGATGTGGCTGATGGCAGGGGGGTCCTGCCTCGCGTGCTCCCTTGGGTCCCCAGGGTACGTGCAGAGCTCTTTGAGGCACTGCAGCTTGACTCAGAGTAGAGTACAAACCATACACCTTGTTTTGATAGGCAGCTCTTTACAGCTCGTTTTCCCATTCAATAATTCCAGTCAAACACGTCCAGAAACCAGGCATGGCTGGGCCAGCTCAGGAGCTGGCGTGCTTAAGGGAAACCTGTTTCAGGGCATATCCAGTCCCAGTTCACTGCTTGCAGTAATGGCTTAGATATAAAAGACTTCAAAGAACTTGTTTGAAGACTAAGTAGCTGCAAATAGACACTTTAAAAACATCTCAGAAAGGGGTAATCATCGGAACTGCTGAGTGTTCCAGCAGACCGAGTTTCCTAGTATTGCCCTGTACATATTATTAGTGACAGCACCAAGGAATGCGAGCAGTATCACAAGGTAACATGGATTTATTCCAAGGGATGACTCCAAAGTCCTGAAATTAAATTCTGCCAAGCCTGTTCCTGCAAGCAAAACTTGTTTTTGTCCCTCTTATGGTCTTGAAAGTCCCTGGAGGACATTAGACTGTCCTTTTGTACTTCAGCAAGCACTGGGGCTTGCAGGGCATCCCACGGAGAGTTAAGTAGCTATCTGCTTTCTGCGCCTTGCAAAGCACTTCACAACTGAATACTAAGATGCAACTGCACCCTCGTTATCTTCCCAGTGGGGGTGTGTGTAAGGACTAAAAATAGATTTCTCTTCCTTAACCCACCAGTGAAGGCACAAGGTCAGATCTCTAGTCAGCAAGCACTGGGGCTTGCAGGGCATCCCACGGAGAGTTAAGTAGCTATCTGCTTTCTGCGCCTTGCAAAGCACTTCACAACTGAATACTAAGATGCAACTGCACCCTCGTTATCTTCCCAGTGGGGGTGTGTGTAAGGACTAAAAATAGATTTCTCTTCCTTAACCCACCAGTGAAGGCACAAGGTCAGATCTCTTTAAGCCGTAACTGTTTTAGCCCCTCTAAGTCTGAATTACCCCGAATTCAGCACAGGCTGCCCATGCTTGGCTGTGACAGAGCCAGTGAGCAGCATGGCAGCCTGGGGGCATTTGGCAAAGGGAAAGCAGCAAGAGTGGATGACATTTGTTGAGGTTGAGGTCACCCCTCATCCTTCTTGAGGAAGGGACAAACCAAACCCAGGCTAACAACATTGCTGGATTTTTTTCTCCCCCCCTCCCCATCTTCCCAGGTTCCTGCAAGAATGAACTCTAGCCAAGCAACTGAGGAATTGGAGCAAGCCAAGGGCATCCACAGCTCTTATCTCCCTCTCCAGCCCCAGGCTGGGGATGAAGCCACATCATCTACAGGAACGCAGAGGGCAGCAGGAGAAGGCTCATTCCCCACCAGCATCTCCATCATTTAGTCTTCTAACTCACCTTATCAAAGGTCACACAGTTACTTCCAAACTGGACGCTGAGCCCTCAGCATCTCGCCCCCCTCCTGCTGGAGGGGCAGAAAATAAATGCCTTACCTCATGCCACTAGTGCCTGTCTGGCTGTGCCAGAGACTGGCTGTACGTGAAGCCGTGTGGTGCTTGGCTTTTTCACATTACGCTGGAACATCATCTCCCAGGGGCAGGGGGCAAAGGGGTGGTTGTGCTGCCCGCCCAGTGCAGCACAGACCTGGCCCACGCAGGACAGCTGTCCTCCCCCTCCAAAGAAGGTGGGGGGATGTCCTGTGTTGGGAGGACTATGGCCAAAAAGGACTTGTGGCAGAAGGGGCAGCCCAAAGCCAGGCATCGCTGCAGGGGATGGGTGTGACTTGTCCCTGCAGAGGTCCTGTGCTGGCTGGGTACAGGGAGCAGGTGCCCATCCCTGCAGCTCCTGTTCTGCCCTCTGGGATCAGCCTTGCTCCATGAGCTCTGGAGGTTGGCTGGTGTCTCACCACCTCGGAGCGTGGCAGCTGCAGCAGTGGCCCTGAAATGACCTGCTCATGCTTGCAGTCCTCTGCGCCATCCCTGGGCCCTACAGAGCAGTAACAAGGATGAAGCTTTTACATGGGCCTGAAGGTGCAGAGCCTGTTTTTACTTGCTTTAATAGAAAAACTTTCCCTGCAACACTCCCGTCATTAGCACAGAGCAGACAGGGACAAACCTGTACCACTCTGTAGTGCCAACAGGGTTAGACCAAGGAGGACGGAGGGATAGTCCTCTGCAAGCCTGGATTGGGCACCGAAGCCTGGCACACCCACGGGTTTGCACTGGCATGAGCATGGGCTATTGGTGTAGCCGGTGTCTCCTGGATCTGACAGCCACTGCATACATCTACCTCCCCCCAGCCCTGTTTGCTCAAGGCCAAGGACACCGGTACAGCAGAGAAAGTGTGACCGAGCTGGTACGACGCTTTCCTACTTGCCTAGAGCGGAGCTGCAGGAAGAGCCACATGGGCAACAGGGTGCTGCAGGGGTTGTACCAAAATAAAGCTTCCTGCTGCGCACTGGGGCTGTGGGATCATTACTGGCTGGGAAGGCGTTTGCTCCAGGGCCCTGCTCCCATCCACGCAGGCAGCACCTTCCTCTTCCCCTGCAACAGGTCCCTGCAGGCATTTGTCCTCCTAGTTCAGGCCAGGCTGTGACTCAGTGTGATGCTGGGGTGCAGAAACACAGCCCTTCTGCCTGTGGGACACAGGGTGGGGACAAGGACCTGCCATTCCCCCTTGATCACCAAACCCACCCCCTGCAAAAGCTGAAGGGTCAGCACCCTTCTTCCTCCCCCAGCAGCCCTCCTCCCCCAGCTCCCACACAAGACCAGGAGTCACCTTTATTTAAATAACCAAAGGTGTACTTTTTTTTTTTAAAGCACATAACATTATTCTCAACCCAATTAAAAGCAAACAGCAGACAACTGCACACAGAGGCACCGCTCCCTCCACCCTGCTGGGTTTAACCTCCATGACAGCCCTTTATCTGCCGCTCTTACAAAGTGCTGATTCTGTTCCCATCCGACCCGTCCCACACCGGGTCTGACCCCTGAGTCTGTACTGTAAGGCCCCTCTGATAAAGCCCCCAGCCCCTGCCAGCACCAGCTCAGCCCAAGGGCTCCCTCTCTTGGGGTCCGCTGGCTCTAGGGGAACTCCCTGCCTGTCCCAGTTGAGGCTTTAACCCCAAAATGCCATATGACCACAATTCTACCAACACAGCCCCAGACAGGCTGTGAAAACTGGCTGCGTTGGTTACCCGAGTAGCTCCAGGCAGCTTCTGTCAAGGTTATAAACCCTGTGCCACGGAGAGCTAAAACCTCGCTGAACCAGAGTTAGAGGTGAAGGTTACACCCTGGAACCATGGACCTGACCCAGCCTTGCTCTTTGCAGAGGGCACCAACAGTTCTGCAGGTCCCAGCAAGGGATCCAGGAGCCATGCTGATCCGTCACCCCAAAGCACAGGGGGAACCCCTCTACCCAAACGTTGGAAGGAGCCCATTTCCCCCAAGGGGGAGCTGAAGCCTTCCGAGCCCCATTACAGTTGCAGCTCACCTGCCCCACAGCTCTGCAGGAGTTTTACAAGCCTTGCAGAGCAGCAGCTCCACCAAGATCTGCACAGAGACACGCGGGACAGGCACCATCTTTCGGCCACTGCTGACCATGACAAGTAGCAAAACAAGCAGGACAGAGCCCTTTGCATCTGCAACAAGTACCGTAAGCACCAGGATGTCTGCTACAAGAAGGTCAAACCACCACCATGGCAACGGTTTACCAACACCAAGGAAGCTCTGAGCCAATCCAGGTGCATGTCACACACGGTATCAAGGGGTATGCCACAAGTCACACACGAGGACAGGTTTGCCCAGGACTTTGACAGATCTGTGCAGTTTTAAAAAATCAACCTGATAGCTCTGAATGGTAGAAACAAGCGTGGGGTTTTGTTGAGAAGACTGAACTGGCAAGGCTGGACAGCATTCAGCTAAACTCTGCACAAACCATATGTACTGGCTGGGCAGACTGCAGCTCCCTCTCCACTGCTGCACCCCTCCATGAGCGAGGGCACTTGTTCAGACAAGGCCATCAAGCCCAAAGAGACACTGTAAGGCTGACTGGCCCCACACATTCCCCTCTGCAGTCCAGCTGAGGTTATTTGCCCAAGGTGCCTCCTTCAAAAGGGAAGGACTTGGCTCAGGAGTACCTGGGCAATGCAAAGTCCCAGCACAAGATGCTGCTGTGACACAAGGGCATCTGTCAAGGAGATGGGCCCTGCCCCAGAGACCACCCATGAGCCCCACCATGCCGGACAGCAGCACTCCAGGCTGTCCAGGGA